TTCCTGGCAAGGACAGGCATTTTGGTTGACTACAAGTCTAAAGTTACAATTCAAAGCCAATTTGTTCAGTTAGGTTTCCACTATGAGCAGCTCTGCTTCTCACTGCTAAGTGCTCCATGATGCTGCTTAGTTGGAGGGTGTGTTGTAAGTAAAAGATGTAATATATTGTACTTGATTATCAATTTTCAGGAACAGCTGCATGCTTTGATATCTGTGTAAGGAAATATCAGAAGATAATATACCACTGATATTTATTACTCTATAATTAAGGATGTGTCAGTGTTTTCCTTTAAAAACCCCTATTTTCAGAAATTCATATCTCAGGCATAAATTTCCCTATGAATTACATTCTAATACAACATTAAAAGTATCTTCTTTTAAAGTTTTTCCTCCCCTTCCTTTTCTTTCCAGGAAAATAAGTTTCAGGATGTAATTTCTGGGTTATCTATTGGGATGAGATGCAGCAGACCCAGCACTGCACAGTTGAAGGTGCTGCTGCCGCCACCTGCTCCCTCTGATCCTCAGCCCTTTGCCCCAGGTGAGAATGCAGGGGTACCTTTTGTAGCCCTACATCTACGTGGATGAGCAACTTCATCACTGCATGATTTTAAAAGCAACAGAGAAGAGTCAGCGGTTCAGAAATATCACAGGTGCTACAGAATCAGAAATTTCAGTACCAGAAATCAGTTCTTTTCTATTGCTAGAATACAAATATAGCCAGGTGAAACATGTTATAAATCTATAGTAAGGTATTAGTAACCTATTGACATTTGTTTCTTCTGATAGCAAAGGGTAAAAGAAGAAAAAGGGAAAATAGGTGGAACAAGTATTTCCTCCTTCTTCTTTAAGGGCTGGTTTCCACCAATGGAGCTGAGCACAACCCAAAGAAAGAGCCCCAGAAAATCTGAGGTCCAGACCTCTTTCTACTACCACCAGACCCAAGCAGGTCAACTTCTCCTTAGGCCCTCAGCTTCCCTATATCTAAAGTGGAAAGGTCACAAAAACAAATGCTTATCAGGAGGGCCAGAGAAGTTTCCTAAATATATGAGTCCAGCCCACTATAAGGCCACAGGAAATTGGGGGGTGGGGCGCTTGTTAGGGTTAAGAGGTAGAGACTGCCTCTTTAAAGGCAGAATAATAGTAACAATAAAACACTTAAAATACTGGCCATACTTCATGGTCTCTCACGTTCTTTTTATCACCAACCAACAGTGTGATTCACAAAGCACCACCTCTGCTACTCTTTGCTTGGTGGGGAAGAGAGATACAAGAGAAGTAGGGGTCCATTTGAGTTATGCTCTTGAATTTGGTGCTTCCTGAAAGACACACAAACAACAGTGAAGTCCCAGGCACAAAGTCTTTCAGTATCTCTAATATGCTCTGTTTTCTAAATATAGCACTATATGCCTTAATTTTCTCAATTGTGAAATGATATGGGAAACATTAAATTGTCAAATACAAAGGACTTCACATTCCTAGAGAAAGGTTACACAAGTACATATTCCTAGTAGAGTCACAGCTTCTAGGATTCTATATTATGCCTGTTATTTAAACAGGGACTGACAGGACAGTAATATGTTTTTTAGATTATCTCCTAAAGGTCATCAATTCAGCTTATGAAAACAATTAGGAACATCTCCTAGGGTTGAAATTCATAATCATTGAGCTATGAGAAAGAATAAGGGATCTGATGTGTTGATTTTAAGTGCTAATTTAGAAAAATGAGGGATGAGGATCCTGGTTCTTGAAGCCGTGTGTGCCTTCCATGCAACAAGGGCATCCTAAGGATACTAGAAGGAGCTTCCTTCTCCTGGGGTAGGGGGATGGCAATGACAGGACACAATTCACTATTTTGTCTTGAAGAAGAAAGAGGACAGGTATATGTGAAATGGGCAGTGTGGTTAAGAGCTGAGAATTTCTGTATTCTACCATGCATCTCTGAATTTTTCGAGATGAAAACATGGTGAATTTAACTTGTGTCTTCATCTTACTCAGTACTTTCAAAAGGGAGTTCACAGAGATGTAGCTTTCTGTTTGCATGTATAGTGACACAGGCATTAGGCGAAAATGGGGATCAGCAACTCCCAACAAAGGAATCCCTAGAGAGCCAAGTCTGACTTTCTCCATAGTATGACTTGTTTCAGGGTTGAAGTGAAGTTTTTGGCTCCTGGTAAGTAGAGGGAAATCTTCTTATGTAACATTGTCAGTTGGAACAGCTTTTATTACTGTCAGAGGGAAATGGTTTTGTGAGTCAATCAACAGTTTAGGAAATCACAAAATGTTTAGGATGGCGTTGCAAGCAAAACTAACCACGTGCTTCTCAAAGTATTAATAACTCCTATGGAAGGGTATATCTAGTAACATTTAAGACATGTAAAAAGTCATAAGTAATGACTAGTAATAAGCCTTTATAGACCTAGATCTAGCTTTAGAAAAAGACTGTTAGCTGTACAGAGAATGTGTCCCCTCCCGCAGATGTCTTTTTCTTTACACTGGAACTTCTCTGAAGTAACCATTATTATAAAGTTGGTGTTAATGGCTATCTTTTTTTTTTTTTTTTGAGTAATACTTTAATCACATATTTACGTATCTTTGAGCAGCTGGTGGAATTGCTTAAAAATTTTCCCAGTTCTACTTTAATGAATAGCTTTGAAGGGAGGGCATAATATAGAAGAATCAGTTGTCCTCCTGTATCTCAGTTTGGTTAAGATGAAACATGTTTAAGTTGATGGATTTAATCTCTTCATTGTTAGATATAAGATCTGACAGCAAATACTGACCAATTTTTAATTGAAGTAGAAAGGGTGATACCTGCCAATAGTTTATAGGAGAATAAGAATCACAGAATATGTCATCATTAAAGAATGGCTTGGGATATTATTTAAAGACTGATTCTATCATCCATACAAACTATCTTGAGACTTAAATGAAATTTCTTTTGTGGTTCGTAATATTTCTGGGTAGCAGATGCTTTCTCAAAACAGATTTTACTTTTAAAAATATCAAATATAATTAAGTTTCAACATAAAATGAAATCTTTGTTTCCAGATGCATTTCAAGGTGTTGAAATTAATCTATGCAGTTTTCTGTGGGTAAGGGTTTCCACTGATTTATGGTTTCTGCTGTTATCTTTATATGCCATGTCTGAAGAACTGAGAATAAGAGCAGGACATTAAAGCTTACCTGTATTTGTAGGATACCTGCTAAAGTAGAAATATCTTGACAAAGGCCTTTTGACCTATTTCTGATCAACACTGCATAAACAAGTTAGGATAAGAACTAGGTACGCCATTATTTAATATAGAAACAAAGTAAATTTAGGGCGAGCATCTTATTGCATTGAGGACTTGATAATGGGCAGACTTCTAAAGATATTTAAAATTAATTTGGTTTAATGATTTACTTTGAAAGGGTAAAAGTAATCTACTTAAAACAAGAAATGTGGGGATTTTTTCCAGGAAAATAAGAATTAATGAGTCAAGTTGTACTTTCAGTTATCCATTGACTTCAGCTAACATGTATTCTACTATACCAAGGTTGCTGAGAAGTACACGTGCTAGTGCCAAATTTGACAGCATAGTTTTCTTAAGTAATAGCTTTAATGTAAGTTTTATGCTCAAAGGAATGATGGGCATAGCTAAAGACAAAATTTGATTTGAATTCTGGGTGTAACCAAGAATTTATGCTACCCATACAGAGGCAACATTCAAAATCATACTGGCAAAAAAAAAAAAAGAGGAAAATGTTCAAATGTTTCAGATAGATTCTCTGAAAGATATTTAGTTCTTCCCCCCACCCCCCGCCCACTGGTTAGTAAGAAAATACATGGATAGCTGTGCATGTAAGATCTTATCCACCAGAATACTTTCAGGATAGAAAAACAAAGCAAAACTAAGCATTGTTTCTTGAATGTAAGATCTATTGTCTTAGAAGATGTCATTTGTGATACAGAACCTTTCTGAATAGTTCATTTCACTGAAGAGTATTAAAGTAAACCCTTACTCAAGAGAATTAAATGTCTATGAACTTTTTAAATCCTTAATTTTTCTCTCAAATGGAGAATCTCTGCCAGATCCCAAGGTACACAGTCTTAGACTGGAAGGGACTTCTGAAATAGTTCCTAAGCCTTTTGTTTTATGAATGAGAAGGTAATTTGTTCAGTGACCTCCCTGTAAGAAAGAACTAGAGGCTAGTGGTATAGGGGCCCATCATAAACTATAGAGCTCATGCTTGATGTGGAGAGAAGTCTCTGTTCAAAGACTGAGCTTGTTGCATCTGCCTCTTTATTTTGAAATTGCCAGGCCTCATGGACTGAACTGCTTTCACTGATCTGCAAGACTGCCTGTATCCTGAGGACTGTGTCTGGTCTATGGTTATACCACCCTGAATGCACCCAATCTCATCTGAGGGCTGTGTCTAGCTTCCGAACCTTGATCTATTCCTTGCTTTCAATTTTGCTATCTGTTATATGGGCTCTATTGAACTTTGGTACCACTGACTGCTCCAACTTTGATGCTTACAAGATCACTCAGCCCTTCTAGAAGCCAGATAGCCAGGTTTGGCACTTGTCTAGCCACCTTTCCCTGGCTTCTCCTTACTCTGCAGTGTATAGAAAATACTCATTTCAAAAGCTAGGAAAGTTACAATTTACCTGTCAGTAACAGAAGATGGTTTATCAACAGACTTTACCTTAATGACTACAAATGTTTACCTCCTGCTTTCCAGAATGCAAAGAAAATCTTGGAAATGTCATAATATCTTACAAACATTTGCAAAACAGATCCTTGTTCATCCAGAAAAGAAACAATTGTATTTGTTGTCTCTGACAAGGAAAATGTTCAGTGAGAAACATACAGATAGATATACACTTACACGTAAATGAATATGCTAATTAAAAACTGCAGTGGGCACTTCATTAAAAATTTATTTTGCAATCTAGTCATTCAGAACATTTTTTTATCAACAAATACAGTAGCTTGACTATTGGAATCAAAAGTAATTTATCTTTCAAAGACTGTATTTGTAGCTGGATGCAAATATTTTTGAAGGATATTTGTATTAAAATTACTGGTTTTGTTAGAAGTATTTTAATTTTTCTATTTTAACCCCTGGAGAAAATTAAAACAAGTATCTCAGTGCTCATTTTATGGGTGAGAGGGCTCCACTGACTGTATCTGCCATGTTTGTCCGAATTACAGCTGTTTATTCTGCAACTTTCTTTAAGATTAATTAAATGCAAATGTAACTATGTGAATCATGGGAGTACCTGCCAGACCCCTTATTAATACCTTCACTTAAAAACTCCTGTGCCAGAGAATCATTAATTTGCTAAAGGAAAAGTGCTAAAGCAGATTTTTGCCCACAAACAATTCTGAGGTGGCTGCCCCATTAATCTGGTTGCATTCTGATCCTCCTTTCAGGCTCTGTGGCCCTTTGAGGACACAAGAAGGCTCCAATGATAACCTGGCAGCCCAGGTAGAAACCCAGCCAAGTATGAGCGTTTGAAGCTGCAGTTTGGCTGCCATCGTGTCGGCAAAAAGAAAGAATTCAGGCACCATGTCATCCAGTACAAAGGATAAAAATGGATTCAACCGGAAATTCAATGTGGCACCACATATGGGATACATGAGTGCGGTTATACAACAGGCCACATATTTTTTTTTTGAACAGTCTCCTACATGTGATGCCGAGGACATGTGTAACCATCATAACGTCTCTAGGAATCTGTATTTAATTTGAGTTGGGGTGGTGGCAGGGATTGGAGATCTGAAGCCGCCACAGGTTTGTGGCAGATGGCTCTGTGTCAGCTATGACAAGCAGCCAGGCTCAGCTTCCTCTGCAGATTTTCTTTTCTCTCTGATCAGGTAAATATGGGCACACTCTGGAAAGTTCTTCAGATTCTGCCTTAGGCTGCAAGTTTGTGACTTAGCCCCATCTGTCACAAATCTTCCTTAGGTTCTGTTGTAAGCAGAGACCTGAATTTACCATGAAGGGCTGCCCAAGAGAACGGAACCATTTCACCCTGTAACAAGGAGGAGGGAAAGAAGAGCAAGCAATGAAGAAGCATGAACTACTGAAATACGAGAGAAGGCTGAAAATTCAGAGTGCATGTTTTTATCACTTGCATCAATTGTATTTCAAAAACCACCAAGTAAATGGTTCTTGAGTTCCATCACCTCAGGAAATCCCAGTTTCTGATTGGCTTAAAGTGTCACTGTATTTCCAACTATAGCAGAAAAACACTGTTTTTTTTCCCCCCCCAAATGGGTACATTCTGCTGCGCACATATTTCCTGGTTTATGTTATGGATGACGGCTATTAGAAGTTTATCATCCAACTTTTAACTTTTTATAAACATAAGATACACAACACTCTTAATACATGTTTTTGCTAATGTGAATTCTACTTATAAGCAGTGAAGACACAAGACAAATGCCTTTTCTATTACATGGAATTTATAAAGTGCTTCACATTTACAAATGGGTTTATATTCATTATTTCATTATAGCACTACCTCAGGGGGAAAATGCTATTACTATTGAAAAAAATTCTTCTAGATTTGTAGATGAATCATATAGAGGCCAAGAAATCACCTAAAGCCAGGCTGTAAATGAAGAGCAGAGAAAGACAAAACCTCTAACTGCTTTTAATCGGCCAAAACATATCTATTATGTTAAGGGTTTCTTGCTTTTATTTTATTTAGACTAATCAAAGGAAAACCGAACCAAATAAAATCAAGAGAAGAAGAGAAAAGGAAGGGAGGAAGGGGGAAAGAGAAGGAAAAGAAGAAGGGAGGAAAGAATATAGAGAGAGAAAAAAAAAGAGAAAAAGTTTGAGGCTGAGAATTTGCCTTAAATTTTGCTGGTCCAGTTGAGAGATTTTAGAAGTCCTTAGAATGTCAGAATATTTACATTTTCATTTTTAAGGAAAAAGTAAGGACTCTGGAGGAGTGTTAATAGCAGTGCGCAACACCTTGTTCGTATCTGGAACATAAGCTCAAATTAAAAGGGGCTCTAAAGTGACCAGTCTGCTGGAGAAAACTTAAAGTGGCTTGGCTGTGGTTTGAATAGATGTAGCCTGACATAATTAAGACAACCACAAATGGCTTTTCTGGGCATGGAGTCTAAATTGTAAGCTTAATCATTGTTTGGAATTAGTTTTAAGCATCAAACTGAAAATTCTCTCCTCAAATAACAGCAGGTCTCTTAAATGTTGAAGAACTTGAAGAGGAGGACAAACTAAAAAAAACAAAACAAACAAAAAAAAAACTTAAAAAAACTACAATTCACTTGCAAATAGCAAAAGAGAGAATAACACCTCCTGTCTTCATCACAGATTATTGCTCAGTTTGTAAATAAAAGTAAAAGAGAAAATAGGACAGGAATGAAAATCTCTTCTTTTAGTTCAGGTGGTATATACCTTATACAAGTGCTCCATTTGTACTCTTGTTCTGTTTTCAATACTGCTAACAAGGGGGCTATCTATACATTTTAAAAAGCATTTTAAAATAAAATGATAAAAGATTATCTAAAACTATGAAGTACTGGTCTTAAACAATTGGTGGAAAATTTCAACAAGTAAAATCACATAGTAAAAGTGAGGTTAAAAACTTCATGGTATAAACTTGCTTGGGTTGGAAAGGAATAACCATTGTTAGTGTGAGACGTTAATCTATGGCTGGCTATGTTATAATTTTTTCTAGAAATTTGTGCTCAAGGAAGGTTTAGTAGTCTGAAAGAGCTCTCTATTGTGGATGAAGTGGAACCAATTTTTTTCTAGGCAAGCACATGGTCAATACATCTGTCTCAGCTCTATAGAGAAGGGTATATCCTACAGTTATAAGAAAGAAAGTTATAATCAATGACTAAACCATACATTTGGTTTTAGAATTTTAAGAGTGTTAAGAAACATTTAAATTTTGAATGCATTAGATTTCTCTAAAGATTCTAAGTGTGTGTGTGGGTGTGGGTGTGAGAGAGAGAGAGAGAAGGGAAGAGAGGGGGAGAGAGAGAGAGAGAGAGAGAGAGAGAGAGAAAAGGGGAGAGAGAGAGGGAGAGAGAGAGGGAGAGGGAAAGAGAAAGCACACATTTGGAGGAATTTAAATATCTAGGGCCTGAAATCATTTCAGGTGAGAAGTCATGGACACAGAATTCTGTAGTCAAATCAGTTTAAGAAAAAAAGTAAATTCTGTTTCTGTTTTTCAATATCTAGCATTCTGTTTCAAATCCTGATTCAAGTTATAGCCTTCAAACTCTAACTCATATTGAAAGTATAATGTCTCTTGTGAGAAGAAAGCCAAGTGTTAGTAGCCTTATTCTAGCCATTAAATTTCTAAGTGTGAATTCGTATGAAAAATTCTATCCTAAAGTGAACTCCATATGAAAAGAAGCTGAAATGATTTTAAATTGTAAATTTTAACAACAAAAAGAATAAGGTGTAAAAATGTAAAAGAAACAAATTAAAGAATTCAGCGACATGGTATGTTTTTAGATCTTAGAAGCATATGCTTTATAAAAGCAAAACAGCACTGTCCAGTGGAATAAATCTACAAAAAACCTCATATTCTCTTCATAGAAGAAAGACACTTTAATTGCATAAGAAAAGTACACAAAAAGCTGCCTTGGAAGAGATAACTCTCTAGTACTTCGTGAAAACAAATGTTACCTGAAAATGTGCATATTTTTATAAGACATAAGGTGAAAAAATTATCATAATTTATTGTGTCTTTAGAAGACATTCTTTTTTTATGTTTTAAGTGTAAGTTTTACTCTCCTGGACACACCAAGTCCATGCTCCTTCCTATGATTTTTAAACTATATGTCCTGCAACATGCCAATTTATCCTCATAACTGCATCATAAAACCATGGGTTACTTGTAATTTTGGACAAATTTCTTTAATTTTTGAGATTTTTAGATGTAATATCACTATGGTCTATGAATGAGGACATATATGAAGGCATATTGTAAATTTATAATAAAAAGTCCATGATAAAAACATTTAAATTATACATATAAATGCTTATATCTGAATTACTAATTTATGAAACATTGAAATGGAGGATTTTATGATTTACAAACTAAAAAAATATATAAGGATTCACATGTAAAAACTCAATGAAGCAATATTTAAAGTATAGGTATTTTTAAGCTATATGAAGAATTCTGTATATTAACATCATACCACTAAGCTACCATTCTATCAGAATTTTCCCAGAAGTTATTTGTAAAATAAATAATTTAGCTATGTTATGGCAGTAATTGGATTAAAATATTTTAGCTGGAGATCTGCTTTCTTTTTTAACTACAGACAACTTGTTGTAGGAACTTTTGAAATGGTTAAAAATTCACAGATATAGGGTAACAGGGTTAATAAGGTTTAACCTGAAGCAACACAAAAAGAACTGATAAATTTTGGTGGTGGAAATACATTTGTAAATACTCCACCAAAAATTTACTGGATGCAGAACACCTAAATAAACAAAAATCAGTAATTTAACTTTGAGTTCACTGAAAATACATTTGTGTCATATATAAAAAATGAATTCATTTATACTAATACGGTTTATATTTCCTTAATTTTCATAATCTGCCTATTTTGACTATCACATGAGAGATAATTCAATGTATGTTCTATACAAACAAAACTACTCCTGTACTTTAAAAAGTAGGAAATACTAGAGTGAAGCTTGGAGGTCTGCCTTCTCTGTGAAGCTTCCTGTGTGTAAGATACAATAGGACTGACTCGCAGAGTGATCCTGAGGCCTGGAATTGTGCAGTCAGCATTTTAAACTACTATGAGCTACCTTCTGAACCATTGCCAAGTTAATAGACAATGAAAGATAATGAGCTTGAAATTGGGTGTTAAATTGCATTTTTGGTTCTCTTCCTTTTTCTTGAAGTTTAACTGTTTCCTGGAGAAACAAAGTCATATTTTGATGTATCACTATGTAAATATGTATTTTAGGCTATGAAAAAAGAGAGAAAAAGGCAAGAACTGTATTTTATATAGGTGGTTATATATTAGCATAGGAAAATTAAAACATGCCAGACTATAAAACTTCTAGATTGGTAAACTGTACTGAATTTGTGTAAAAAGAAGAGGCTACATTCAAAGAATACAAAAAGGTGTATCACTCATGGCCTAAAGCCACCTTTGAAACACATAAACCAGATTTATCCTACTTCAGTTACTTAAGACTTTTAGTAGGGCCTCTTTGTGTTGTTATTTCAACAATGTAAAAATTTTGATTCAAATAAGGGAAAAAGATAATGAATGGGGGGAACGAATGATGATGCTATTTATCTATTTTCCTTTTGCCTTTGTCACTCAAAAATGAAACTGACAGTCTTAATTCTAAACAAACTGAGGATCTTTATGTCATATGGTTAAACAAGACCAGGAAAATATTCGAGTTTTGAAAGTTGTCTTTAAAGTAGTTAAAAAATGAACACCAAACTTCACTAATGTCATTCACCTGAGTTTTTGAGGACTAAAGATTTGATTAGGATGGGAAGAAAGGCTTATCCTCATTAGTATAACTGTAGAATCTTTCTTTTACTTCCTTTTAAACTAATGAGTTACATTAATCCAGGTTCATTTTTATAAGCCTCTTGGGGCTAAATGTAAAGGACAGTCATCTTAGAAAACACTAAATTTTAAAAAAGCATGTACTGTGCATTAAGTGCACGTATTTCATAAGACCTAGGTTAATACAACTGGCATCCAGTTTAATTAATCCTTGTTAGTGTAACAACTAATATCCCTCCCTAGCATGTTTCCTTTAAACATTAGTACGTTAATTAAATGTTTCTTTTTAAGGATTTTTTTCTTTGTACTTCAATATGGCATTTACACCATGTAAATCTCTTCTTAACAACTACCTTATAGAGATGTTTTCTTATAATATCTGGTCTCTTGCAGAAATTCTGGAGCCTTTTTGTGAGCTGTTCAGGTGTAGAATACAGATATTCAGCTGCAGGAAAAACAGATACATTTTTAATGAAACAAAAACCTCAAAGCACACACTCGATATTAGTCACTTTACTAATTAAAAATGCATATTGCTCTGTGCCGCCTCGTGTTTTACATTATTTAAGCATGATTTTATAAGGTTACCTCAGCTCACAAGGATGTTTAATGCTAAATAAGACTGTGTAGTTGTGCTGTTTAGACATCTCCTCTGGGTGATTAAAATACATTATTCTAATGTAACACAATGCATATGTGATATATTTAGTGATGAGAAATTTTTCAAACAACTAGTACTATAGTCATATGTACCCTTACAACAGTTGCATATTATTAACTAGTCAACTGTTTAAATAATTTGGTGTGACTTTCAGTCCTTGATTTTTCTCTGTGTATATCATTAAAAAAATCTGTAAGCAATTGTAGCAGCACTGACCTGCTTATAAAAATCCATCATTATGGGATGTGTATGCTAACAATGAAGAATGCTATTTGAAAACTTGCTTTTTTTGTTATCTTAAAAGAACAGATGGCAAATATAAGCTTACTCTAATGTATTAAAACACATAAAATTTTCCTTAACACTAACATGTTGACTTGCCAAATAAACAATTGCTCCTGCCTAAGTTTATTTTCAAACTTTCTAATTTAACATGAATCATGTATTAAATCACAACGAAGACAAAAGCACATTAAAACAACTACCTGGAAATATTTCAGGATAAACCAAATCTTTGGGACAAAGTGGGTAACAACCACAATATACAGCTTCCAACCTAAAGAAATTTCAGAAAGAGGATAAGAATATATTAGCAACATAGCCAGAAAGTGGTTTTGTTTGCCTAAGTTAACAGTATGAGCCCAGAGTTAACTGGGACAAAAAACATGGTCGGCAGCACAGTCTTAAAAGCCAAAGTTGCTCTTTTAAAACATTTTATTGATCATATACAAATTTCATAGAACAGAACCAACAGCATATGTTTTGTTCACTGAATTAATCAAAGCGCAGTGCTGCATTTTTTTTGTTTTTAAAATACTGTTTAACACATTTTATAATCAGCAGATAAACACATGTAACAACATGGTAAAGTATGGACAGCTTTTCTTAATAATGCTAGAAAGCCTCAGAATGTTCATTTTAAAAAAAAATGTTTAAATAAAATAGCAATTACTCAACTTTAGCAGTGAAGCCGTAGAAATGATCGAGGCACTTTTAAAACCAGCAGAAAAAAAAAAAAAAAAGAAACCTTACAATCTGTTGTGATGGGACATTTTCATTTTAAGCTCATGCTTTGAAACAATTTGTTATTATGCAGAATGTAAAACTCTTCCCTTTGTTGAAAAACTCCCATGAAAACTAGTTTAATGAACATTTTGCTTTTTTAACTAAACATTCAGCTTACTTTCCATTTTATTAAGAAATAATACTTTTATTATTAAATAAACACGGAAGTTTTGCTTTGCGAAGAATTTCCCCATGGACCCCCCTAGGAAGTTTTTTTTCCCACAGCACAGTGGTAAGGGTTAAGTAGAGGGAAGGCACTATATCTAGATGGTTGTATTAGGTCCACATAATGGTTATTGATCTGACATATAATAAACTTTAAAGATACTGTCATTTCTGTTGGCTAGAAATTATGCAGTGAAATTCAAAACACTCTTTAAAATATGTTTATTTTATGAGAAACTTTGAATTGCATCCAAAATGTTGACCAAAGGCGGAATTTATTTTGAACTGCAGATTTTTTTTCAGCCCAAGAATAATTTAAAGTCATGTCAATGTTTACCTTGTTTATTTACAGTGACAAAGTACATGCAATTTAAGCTGTTTTTAAGTGGTTGATGTTTTCCCTATTTTATTATGTTAAACTGAAATTAGTTTAAAGGAAAGTATTTACTTTGAGCTGCAAACTTTGGAAATATACCAAGTTCAAAGTTTTGCTTGAGAATTGATATATGTTACAAGATAACACAGTAGAAAGACAAAGGTTCAAGGACCAATTATTAGTTTTACAACTCAAAATAACATTTAATTCTTTTCTACATATGGAAGGTACCAGAAATTCTTATTGTAAACATAGCTATAAACCACACTGTACTGTAGTGTAAAACATTAAGAAAACTTTTGAGCATCTAAACCCATGATATACTTCATGAACCAAAAGCAAATATGCAGTTTATCCAAAGACATTCAGTTTTAAAATGCCGTGCCAACTGAAAAGCAGATACGTATGAACATTCTCTTATAATTACATAAAATCAAAAGTGGAGTCACAAGCATTTCAGAACGCACATGTTATCTGCTTTTTAATAATGGATTTGAGTCAGAGTTTTCTGTTCCCTGAAAGAAAAATCACAGTCCAACTTACATTTGAGTCATTATATGAGTATGTTCCATACCATGTCCAAAAAACCTCTGCTAATTAAAAGATCACACAGTAAAGATAATAACAGCATTATTTGATTTAGGAAGAAAAACATTTATAGATTTTGGATTTTAAACTTTTATTTATAAATCATCTTATTCATAGTTATATTTCTAACTCATCAAGAAATAATCGCCATCTCTTTTGGTTATGTTTTTGACTTAATTTTGTTATATATATTATTTAAATCAGGACTATATTTTAAAATACATGAACAAGGCTTTAATATTTTAAAACAAATTTATGTATACATTAGTTTCTCATATTTTATTATTTTGAAAAAAATTATCACCAAGACAATAATACAATTATTCATCATT